CACCCAAAAACTTCCTAGCTAATATCTGGCAAGTAAGAGGTTCAAACTTCAAACAAACAAACGATTCGCAAACCAAAAAATCTGGAAAACAGTCCAATACCAGTCCCAGCAAAGGCTACCTCTAGTCTTGGCTAGAGTAATCAATGTCGTTTTGTTCCTATTACCATTCATTTGTTCGGGCTCATCTTTTGTACGGTACGGAAAGCCGGGCCCGCTTTTGGGGAAGTGAGGTATGGTGGCAACATACTCATCGACCGAATTCCATACAAAAAGAAAAACAAAACCTTGCTGATTAAGTTTGTGTGTGTGTGGGTCGGTGGGTATAGAATGTCAGTGCTCCTTTAACATAAATAACATTACATCTGTACAACTTTGTCGTGGAAAAGTTGCCTCCTACACCCTCGAGATTCCATTATATCTTCAACCTTTGTGATCTGACTCATGTGTATGAGGGTCTTTCGTTATCAACACAGGATCATTTCACAACAGTTCATGCGGCTGTGGAGAAACGGTCGCCTTCAAATTTTCATGATAGATTGATTTCCAAAGAGGACAAGACGCTGGTCATTGGCCACCTAACAAAACATACTATCATGGAACATCAGGGGGAGGAGTGGACGAATGGGTGGCCTGATTGGATATTGAATGTGAATTTGGTTTCTGACAAGGAAGTGAGGCAGCAAGGCAGCAAGACAGCGTGGTAGCAAAGCAACAAGGCAACGTAAGCAACCAGGCATACAACGAGCAGAAAGAAAACAATGCGGCAATGCAAGGTAAGCAGCGAGGCTGCACAATAGTCTCTGGCCCCCCCGGCGAAGGAAAGGACAACTTTGGGGAATAGGGAAATCTGGGGGCGGATATGGGGGCGTTCTGCCTCATTAGACCACTCCCCACGCCTCCAAATTTCGAATTAGTACTAGGAGCTCCCCTATCATCTACTCTGCTAACCCCCATACCATTATTGACTTACAGTGGAAAAGAGAGAGGGAGGGAACGGGTAACTGATCGATGCACTGCCGTTCAGTTCGTGAAGATAAGCTTGTAGTCCCTGACTAGCTGGTCGTGGTCAATTCTCTGCTCTCCCTTTGCTATTCCACCTCGGCCATCCAGGACCCCGGGTCCTTTCCTTTTTTGAATACTGGTGAATTATTTTGTCAGGACACTACTTCTGACTCATGCATGTGGATGTCAATTTGCTTACAGGCAAGATCCAAAGTGTCACCGTTTATGCTGAGGACAATAATATTGTTTATCAGCTGCATGGAACAAGGTACTGCCCATGTGGCACGTCATCACGCTAAAAACAATGGTGAGTTCAAAAAACTTTTGTGGTACAGTGTATTTACTATATTAGGCTTCTGCAATTGACTCTTGAAGTTTTTTGTTGAAAATTTAAAGTACAAATGGTTTGTACTTATATTTTGTTTGTTTTTATTCGTATGCCTTGTGAAACAGTCATGTTTGTTGTCAACATGCAGGCACAGACATGGCATATCAAGTGTCATGATAAGGAGTGTAACGACAATTTGGGCCGAGGTAAGGAAAATGTACAACCACTGACAGTCTTGCAAATCTTCTGCATATGTTAAGTGCATGAAAAAATTGACCCTGCATCTCTGTGTATTCGCCCGTACGTATACGGGCCGTACGTACTCCCGTACGTACGATCGTACGTACGGGACCCCGGGGGCTGTACGGGCCGTACGCACGGACTTCCGTACATCCGTTCGGGGTCTTTCAGGGAGGGTGTAGGGTGTTGTGGGGAGTCCGTCTGCAAAAAAAAAAGAAAAAAAAAAAAAACGCTTTTCGTTTTCGTTGGGGTGATGAGGGGTAGGGGTTTAATAATTTTTTGGGGGGGTACGGAGGGGCGTGTTCGCCGCTGGGGGGTATGTGTGGAGGTGTTGAATATGTGAAAAATAAAAATAAAAAAATTGGAGCAGGGAAGGTGGTCGTTAGGGGGAGTTGTTGTGTGGTGCATTGGTTCACCGTGTGAGGGTCGTTTTGGGGGGCCCAGTGGTGGACGATGGTTAACCGTGTGAGGGTCCTTTTGGGCCCAGTGGTGGACGATGGTTCACAGGCGAACGAACATCAGGATGAAATAAGCATAAATGTACATTGCAGGGACTTCAAACAATAACAATTACAAACAGTTTTCAAAAGCATTGACTCATTGAAGATTATGTGCGAGTGACAATCGTTGCAAAAATTTAGAAAGTACAACATTACAGGGCAACMTAACAACAACACGAAACAACTGCACCATACATACACAACAATAAATGAAACATGAAGATTGAACTCAATCAAATAATGTGCGAATACAATGTGCAATCGTCTGAAACATCGATAACAACGTAGAGGGAAAACAAAAACAATGCAAGCGCTGCAGATGCTGTGCCCATGTCTGAATATAGAGTGCAATCCTCAGAAACATCGATGCAAAAATAAAACGAAAAAGAAACAACAATCTGCACCTACTGCACCTGTATATGGACAATTGTGCATTAGTCTAACCATCTGTACAAATACAAATCTAATAAACACTACACCTATGAACACATCACGTCATCCGAAGCACTAAGTATAATATACACTACTAAGAAATACAGCATGAAAGAGGACTAATGGTGGGACTAAACATCATCGTCGTCCACAATGTCCTTCCTCCTCCTCTGCGGCACCGCACCTCTGACACCGTCGCCGCCACCTGTGTCGCCTACCGGCCGGTGCGCAGTATCCGGAGCATGAACCCCCCCCCTGTGGCGCCGCGTCAACCTCGTGCTGTGCTCGAAGAAGGTCGTACACGGAAGCCCTCCTCCGCTGGCCACGAGGCATCTCCAAATCATCGGTACCAAACTCCAAAACGACTCCTGCCTGTGACGGTCGCTGCGCAGGCACCGTCCTCACATCCTCCCCCAATAGACGTCCGGCCATGCTCCTCCCGGGGGGGCGCTGTGCTCCGCCTCCTCCCCCCTACCTGCTGTGCGCCCCCCAGTACATGGCATCTTCGCCTTAGTAGGTGCTGTGATGGGCTGCTCCGTTGCCCGGCTGGAGCCCCTCTCCCACCAACCTACTGTCTCCGCGACAACGTCCAGGGCCAATGCCTCCCGAGTCCGCGGATGTAAACCGGCCAGCCCGGGCTGAGTCTCCCGCATCGCATGTGTCACCCTCCTCACAGTACTGAGACTCTTACCTGCTCTCATCTTCTTCTTCCGTGATTTGGGAGAAGGAGACTCTGCAGGTGTCGGTGCGGTAATCCGTCCCGTGACTGGACCCTCAGCATGTATGGAGGTAGTGGCACCAGTGGTGGACGATGGCAGTGACGGGCTGCAGGGCACGTAAGCTGGGCCCTCTGCCATGAACCTCCTCGATGCCTCGTCCATCCGTCTGCGCTGATCTGCCTGCAATGGGTCCTCTCGTACCTGTCGCTCCAACTCCCCCGCCGTCATGGCTCCACCGATAGGCAATATACAAACACCCTGAACCGGCGACGCGGGTCTCTCGCCTGCATCCCCGGCGCCCGCGCCTCCACACTCAAGCACTGCATCGTCCGTCGCACGATGACCCTCACCACCGCCCGTCTCGAGCATCCGCTCTGCCCGTGCCCTCGACGCAATACTCTGTGTCATCTCGCAACGGCTAGCCAAGTCGTGTGCCCTCTCCCTCTCCTCTCGGTCGATCCTGTCCTGCTCCGACTCTATCGCTCGCTCCTGCTCAGGTCGACAATCCCCACCGTCCCCTGCTGCACACTCCTCCTGCCCCGACGAACCCTGTGTCCCCGCTGCTGCCTCCTGCAACATGCTGCTACTGATGTCACCCATGCTGCATGAAGGTACATCCCGGAGTATCTGACTGACGGGCGTAGCCGCTGCGTCACCACTGCCACGCTCGCCTGCCGGTGTCGGAGGAAGCCCCAACGAAACATCAAGAATACCACTAAAACTGACACCCAACTGCGCAGAAGCCCTCCCAACCTGCACAGCCTCGCCAGCAACCTCTGCAAAGCCCCCTGGGACCTCCTCAGATGCCACTGCGAACTCTCCGGCGGAGGGAGAGGCCTCTGCAGCGGCCTCTGCCGATGCAACAGCAAACTCTGCCGACCCGGCGCCAACCTCTCCTGTCGCGGCACCCTCATCAACCCAGTGCACAGTGCGAGTGGAGGATGCAGACTCTCGCCTCGCCCGTCCTCCGCCACCACGGCCCGCACCCCCTGTGTGTCCTGCGCCCCCCACACCCCTGCCTGCACCGCTGTCCTCCCTGCCTGCACCACTGCATCGGTCGACACGATGTCGATATGACCTCCGCAAACCACTTGCAGCATGTGCACCATCGCTGCCCTCGTCGTCGTCGTCGTCGTCGTCACCACGTCCGCGTCTCGGGGAATAGGTGAGATCATCCTCGTCCTCACCGCTGCCCTCGTACCACTCTCTATCATCGTCGTCGTCGCCGTCTCGCTCGTCAACAATCTCGCGAGTCCCCTGCTCGCCATGTCCTGGACGATCTGTAGGTAGAGGGGGATGCTGCGCAGCGGCTCCAGTGGGAGCACGACCACTCGAAGGCGGAGGTGGAGGTGGAGGGGGATGCTGCGCAGCGGCTGCAGTGGAAGCACGCGCACTCGGGGGCGGAGGTGGAGGGGGAGGGGGATGCTGCGCAGCGGATGCAGTGGAAGGACGCGCACTCGGGGGCGGAGGTGGAGGGGGAGGAGGATGCTGCGCAGCGGATGCAGTGGAAGCACGCGTCCAAGGATGCAATATCTCGGCGAGAGAAACATTGTCGCCACCATCATCAGAATCTCCGGGCTCAGACTCCACTGCCAGGTCGTCTGGATCAGACCACGGCTCCGCCTCCATTGGGTCCTGAGCCATAGAATCCGGCTCGGGATCGTACACGGCGTCCAACTCAGTCGGCATGAGCACCGTGGCGCGACGACCGAAATATGTCTCGACGCTGGGCGGAGCCTTGGAAAGGCGATCCTTCCGCCCGCGCTGCACCTGCCGCTCGCGCTGCACCTCCGTGACTCGGTCAGCTGGCCGAACCACCTCATCACGAGGTGGAGGAATGTTGTCTCTGTCTCCTCCTCAGCGTCCTCCCATGGCAGAACGTACCCTGAACCCCTCCCTGACAACGACTCAATCTCAAGTTGGTGGATATCTCCACCAAACGAGCCAGCTTGATAAAACCAAGCTGGTTACGCTTCTTCACCTGAACACGCTCATGGACGGCCCAGTTCCTCTCCGCTGGAGAGACGCACGTCCATGTGTGTGTTAGGCGAATGGCGTAAGTCTGAAGGAGAGGGACCCCGTCCCCGTGCTGAACCCATCACTGCCCCACCTTCGACGTCTCCTTCTCCCCTCTGCAAGAGGCCGCGTCCCTGTCACCCTCAACCCCTCCGTACGTCCAATCGCCCTCCCGGCTAAGAAACTCAGCCAACTGCGTGCGCAACGTTTGATACAAGTCCTCATCTCCGCCAGTCTGCTGGCGAAGGTATCGGAGCGACTCGTCCACGAGGGTCTTATCGTGCGTGGTGCGCCTCGTCGCTCCAAAAAACGTGATGCTCCTGTTGCGAGGGTTGAGGAGGTGGGCGATGCAATGTGCGAGCTCCAACATATGATCGGCCTGCGCCTGACAAGCCTAACAACGATGTTGAGCTCCTCCCTCGACGTCCTATTCAGTCTCCCCCTCGCCACCCTGTCGACCATGGCAAGTGCCCACGGCCACATGCGAGTCATCACGCGCCCCCTTCTGTCCAGACGGCGTTACAGCTGCATCAAAGGCGTCATGAGCTCCACGATGTCCTCCACGAGCTCCCAAAATGGCGTGTACCGCACCTGATGACGCACCCACCTGGCCTGCAAGAAAATGAACCTCCTCCATGCAGTCCGCAACCAGTCGTCGCTCATCATCAACGCCTCCAACGCTCGGCGACGATCCAACAACCTCTCCAGCATCAAGTAGTGGGTAGCAAACCTCGTTTGTGCGGGGTACACAAGCTCTCTGCCTCGCCGCTGAGACGAGGGTGGCGCAGCGCTCGAACTGGCCGCAACTGCGGAGGCGAAAGAGGGGTGGGCGGCAGAGAACCGTCGGTAAAGGCTGATAGCTGCCTCGTGCTCTCTGATGAACCGCACGACTGCTCAAGCCCTGATGATGGTGTCCTCCCTCTTCCCAAGCTTCCCGGGAGTGCCGTCCTTCGCAATGTCTGACAACAACAAGTTGCAGACATGGACCGCACACGGAAGCCAAGTAATGCGACTGTACTTGACCTCCTCCTTCGCCAGGAGCTTGGATGCAGCCACATACGCGGACGCAGAATCCGTGCAAATCGCGTTGACGTTTTCGACACGGAAGTTGTCGAACACGTCCTTCCATCGCTCCACCACCACCTCGGTTGTCTCCTGGACAGCACCGTCGCGCTGCACAGTCCTGAAAAGGTAGGCTCCCGTGGGCCCAGCGGCAAGGAAGTTGACGATCTGGTTGCTAGTGATGGACTTGCGACCATCCGTGAGGATGGTCGCTCCCGTCGCCACAATGTCCTTGCGGACGACCACCACCATCTCCGCCACAACTCGCTGCTGTTGTGGAATACCGTCGCCGGAAATGAGACGGTGCGTGGGCAACGCAGGATGTGTATACGGCAGACACTCGAGCAACCGCTTCCTCACTCGCTGGTACTCCGGCCTCCTCGCCGCCTCGAATGGAATCCCGCTCACGTACCACCACTGCAGGAACTTGTTCGAAAACTCTCGTTGCCACACCGGATCGAAGGTCTCTATCATGGAAGTCTATCGAAGGACTTTGCCCTTCTTCAGCAGAGGAGGAGTTGGTGTCGTTGCCTTCCTCTTTCTCTTCTTCGATTGCACGGCGTCCTTCGTCGCTTTGGCAGCCCCCTCTTGGCCTCGACGGCCAGCGGCCATCAGACCCCCATCAAGAGACGCCCCAAGGTCTGCACCCTGATCGTCGTCGTCATCGTCGTCATCGTCGTGCTCGTCCGAGGTGCTGTCCTCGGCAACGGCCTTGTCCCCCCTCATCTTTCCCCTGGCGCGCTCCGCCTCTCGCCGCACGTCCATGTCCTGTGAATCACTGTCACTATCATCACCTACCCCCTCGGCCGCCCTCCTCTCCTGCTCTCTGTCGTCATACTCCTCCCCCGCCTGCTCCCTCCCTGAAGTATTTCTATTGTCTCGAAACCCACAAGACCCCAGAAAGTCGATGATCTTCCGATGGTGGCTCTGATCGAACGAGTAGTTTGTCTTGTTCCAGATCTCAGCGAGCTGCTCCGTGGTGACTTTAGCGCAGTTGTTCTTTATAGTGAAGTGTTGTGCGGCCTTCGATTGACTGCCCTGAAAACCCCGGCCGCACAACTTGCACTCCATGAGAAAATTCCCATTGGAGTCCGGCAGTGTTAGCCCCTTCGTTATCCACTTGAATCCGCCGAACTTGAGCTCCGCCTGCCTCTGTTTGTCCTTACTGACTGGGACAAACTGCTGCTCTCCCCTTCCTTTTCTAGGTGCCATCGTTCACACCCTACAAGTGGCCCCAACGTGGACAAGGCCCGAACCGTGCCCCCCCTTGCCGCCCAGAACGCGCCCTGGACCCTCCGACGCCTTAGGGGTCCGGGCCGTACGGACGGCCACGCCTCCGTACGTATGTTGCGTACGTATGGCACGTCCGTACATACGGGCGCCCATGAGCGACGCGCCACATGTCCCGTGCCGAGGACGGAGCGGATTGTCTTCTACGCCGCGTGTGCCGCCATCGCCGTCGCCGTCCTTGTCGTCTCTCTCTCTCTCTCTCTCTCTCTTTCTCTCTCTCTCTCTCTCTCTCTCTCTCTCTCTCTCTCTCTTTCTCTTTCTCTCTCTCTCTCTCTCTAACAAAGACTCTCTCTCTCTCTCTCTACCTCACACACACACACACACACACCTGTCTCTTATACACATCTAGATGTGTATAAGAGACAGGTATAATATACACTACTAAGAAATACAGGATGAAAGAGGACTAATGGTGGGACT